GAGAGAGAGAGAGAGAGAGAGAGAGAGAGAGAGAGAGAGAGAGAGAGAGAGAGAGAGAACGGGGGGCGACCAGCGAAAGCACCACAGTCCGAATATGCAGAGGGCAGCGCAGAATACCCAGACAAGATTCGGGATATCCAGGCGCTGGCAGACAATACTCGGTGCAGCAACACTCCGGAGAATGGAAAACGAACGGCAAAGCTCTTTTTTTGGGGTATCACGACATCGGGAGATTCCTTCTCATTTCGCACATTGGCACGTGTGTGTCTGTGTGTATGTGTGTGCGTAAGTGTGTATATGTGTCTGTCTATCTGAGAAAGACAGAGAGAGAGATATGGCCAGGAAAAAAAAAAAAAAAAAACGACAATATCACAACAACGGCCCCGCCCCCCTCCTCACCCCTCTCCTCAGCCGCAGCGTCGCTGCGGCGGGTCCACTTGTAATAGTAATAGAAATAGTAGTAGGGAGAAATCTATAACGCCGCTGCCCTGAAGTCGCTAGAATTTTTCCCAAACAACGGCGGAGGTCCAGATCAGCGTGCAGATCTGACGTAAGACTTCCCTTCACTTTTTATTTTTCTCTTTTCCCTTTTCTTTTCCTTATTTCTTTTTTGTTCGATAGTGACAGCGGAACCCCGTGCACCTAACCCAAAATTTAGCAAAGGGGGTGCCTGACGCGCAGTAGAAAAGACCGCACAATTTCTTCTACCTTCGTGCCCCTTGCCAAGCCCGATGGCTACCAAGGCCACAGACCGGTAGCGTTTGGCCGCACATTAGAGCACCGAGCTCTGCGTGGACCAATAGAAGGCCCAGTGGTGCACCCCGTTTTCCTTTTACTAGGGCACGCCCCGACTGGCCCTGTCTGCCACAACACATTGCCTCGGGTACGCCTGGCGAAACCGTAGGGACCCATAGGCAGTACCCTTGAAGGTCCGTACAGCAGCTGTCTTCCCGAGTTGGTGATAGGTAGGTAGGAGGTCCGGACAGGTGTTTGAGTACTTAGCGGAGGGCCGGGACGCCCCGCCCTCCGACATGATACCAAACCCCCGCCCAGCGACCCCGCGGGGCCAAAATGAGACAGCTCAGAGTATAAAAGAGGAGCGATTGTCAGTATGCCTCATTCATTTTCACTGCACTTCACAGTGAAGTCCTCTCAAGGCGGACAGCACTAACGCATTTCTCTTCTGTAGCGCTTCTTTCCACGCAGTCCACAGTCGTCCTTCTTCCTTCCTTAGTACTATACACTTCTTTCTCTTTGTAGCGCTAACCCAGCCTCGGTCTCCATAGCCACGCGCCCACATTGCCAGCTCTTCCCACCGTTTTGACCCCCAACCCACCGTTTTGACCTCCAACCCCCCAACAACCAACCAAACCACCCCGCCTGGTGATATTCACTATGTAGGGGGGTGGATTTAAAAAAAGTGGGGTAGGGGGTTGTCAATGTTCTGACCCCCAAGCCATCGTTTTGACCCCCAATCCATCGTTTTGACCCCCAATAATAAAATGGGGATTTTGTATGCTTGATTGGGACATCCACAGGTGCAATATCTCATGAGTAACACATGTTACCACCAAACCGAATCTCGATTAGTCGGAGATTAAACATGCACATGCTGAAGTATAACAATGTCCGTCCAAACAACGTGTAAGAACTATAAACAACACACACGTTTGCTCGAACGAGAAATAAAATGACCGCCTTATACAGAACAAATGTAGAGCCTGCGTATGGCACCGAAAATGGCATCACTGAATGCTAAATAAGACCAATACCAAACTACATGACTGCTATGACGTACAAAATAACCAAGCGTCGTGTACAAAGATCGTTGTCTACATGTCAACTGCCTACTACTGCTACCAGGTCACCAACAAACTCCGAGTGTTTATAATGTACAGAACCTACGCCGATACACTACATAATGAAGACTACAAGCAAACCTAAGGACCATCAAGTCAACTCCAAAGATGCATGGAACAGAGCAAGGCGACTCATCCCTACAACTAACTGGCACCACGACCTGCCCTAAGAGGACCATGCGTGGCCGATCGTGTCGAAGAAGCCGCTCTCCTCTCTCTCTCTCTCTCTCCCCCTAGCCACGTCAATAGGCTCCTCCTCGGTGTTTGCGTCTATGTCTCTCTCTGCGTCCGCAACACTCGCCAATGTTGAAGCCTCTCTCAACGCTGCAATCTCCGCCTCGTGGGCGGCCATACGAGCCTCTATCTCTGTCAATGACTCGTGACGTCTCTCCCTCGCGCGCATATGCAAAGCCTCCTCGCCAGAGGTGTACGCCCCGCTCTGCACTCCCGCCTCTGGGTTGGCTGGTATGCGCAAATCTCGCATCCTCCCGGAAAGTCCCACTCCTAAAATACGACACGCGGTGTCGATACCGCGTCGCCCCCCGCAGCCCCCGCTGTCACCCTCGGCCCGTCCTCCCTCCTCTGCCTCTCTCTCTGCCAGAGCTTTCTCCTTTGTCTCTCTCTGCCAAAGCTCTTTCCTCTGCCTCTCTCTCTGCCCTCTGTCTCTCCTCACGGCGTCGTGCCTCAGCCGCAGCAACCTCTCTCCTAAGCTTCCCATCCACTTTTCGCACAGTCGACCAAGGATGGTGGTTAGACTGCCGAATATCCAGCCGTGAAGGTGCCAACGAGGCAGGCAAGTGTCCTCTCCCAAAACCACTCCCCGGTGTCGGATGTTGGGCAACGCTCTGTGCGTCGGGCGTGGCCAGTGCAGGTGGCCGCATATGACTGTGAGCAGCCCATCGCTCCTCTCTAATCCTCGCCGACTCCGCCTCCTCTCGCTCCAAACTCCCGGGGGATCTTGAATATATAGGGTCGATAGGGGTATAAGCTAGCGTCGATACGTCACAGACACCAACACATCCGTCGCGGCCAATAGGGGTGTCGGCACTGTCGGGCAACGGATCCTCGTGTCCCGCCCTCTCCTCCTCGTACCACCTGCGTGTCGGAGAGCGAACGTACTGTGTGAAGATCTTCTCGTGGCTCGCCTTGCGCTCCGTGCCCTCGCGACTCCTCGTCGCCCTGTCTCGTGTCGCTCACAGGAACCTCACCCTCGACGGGTTGAACGTGAATGGGCACCCTATGTGGCTCCTCGGTGTCTGCACCGTCTGCCTCCAAACACTGTGTGGCTCTAGTGTCAACACCGTGCTCCTCATGACTGAACACCTGCTCTACCTCCGCACCTGCAGCTGCCATAAGTCCCAGTACAACGTCGCGCACAACATCTGACTCTGAGTCCATCGTGCATGAACCTCCTGCCCCTAAGGTAAGAGGAGCCTGGGACGCAGGCGACCCGCACGGTACAGATCGCGACCCACACGGTGCAGGAGGCGATGCTGACACAGGTGGAACATCGGCATGTCCCGTAACGGCCAGCGATGGCGAGAGAGTGGCATGGTGTGTCGTATCACCCGAAGGCTGCAAGGCAGCATCCGGTCCAGTCACAACCTCCGCATTGTCGTGATCGCCACCTGCACCAATGGTCTCCAACCGTCTCATGCGCTCCACCTGCGCTAGGAAAGCCACCTTCCCTGCCCACTACATCCGAGACAAACGCCTCTCCTCCTCGGCGTCAATGCGTGCGTCACGCTCTGCCTGGGTCTCCTCCCTCTGCGTGTCATGGGGATAGTAGTCCGCCATGTCCCCCACTCGAACGTGCTGGCGTCTGGCAATGTCGCCACCGGACGTAGCCTCCCCCCACCATGAAGTCCCTTGTCCGCAAGTCTGAAGGAATCTCCTGTGATGGCTCCTGCCGAACAGGAGTGCGCTGCTCAGGCTGCTCACCCTCCACCTGATCGCCCAGTATGTCCTCCAGGTGTCGCGAACAAGCGGTCTCTGTCTGTGGGGTTGTGTTGTTGCGGCTAACCAGCCTCTTCGACCGTCTAAGAGGCTGAACCTCTCTCTCGACCTCAGGCGCAGGCGAATGACGTGCACGCAACAACACAGGTGCGCCTCGTGCCCGCGCCGCGTCCTGCACCATGCGCTCATCGTCGCTGCTATCAACACCGAACACCCTCCTCCTCGGTTGTGTGGCGTCTCCGGTGCGCCTCGTGCCCGCGCCACGTCCTGTGCCATGGCGTGTGTCTGATGCACCTCGTGGAGGGTCATCGTCTACTCTGATGAGCATATTCTAAGGCTATGCCTCGATGCTATGTCCACCCTGTGCGAAGTAGAGTCTCTCTAGACTCGTATCTGCACGACATGTGATCTCCTCAGGGTCGGTCCAGTCCTCATCGTCGTCAACGGCGTCATCGCGCATTGGCCCCGCCGCATCATCCACAACCTCCTCCTCCGGCGTGTCCCCCTCATAGGGGAGGAGCACCGCGGCTCTCGCAGCAAACACCTCTGATACAAGACGAGGACGACGACTACCTAGCTGCTGCAATCGGTGTCGGATCGCCGTCAACTCCTCCTCTGTCCCTGACGCACGGGGTCGCGCTCCCCATACCAAGGGCTCTGGCTCCTCGTCAACAGGCCCCGCTGAACCACTCTCCGTCGCCCCAGCTCGTACCTCGTCCAAAGCGTCCAAGTGTCCCCACGGAATAACGTAACCGGCAGATGACTCGGAACACTCCAAGAGTTTGAGATTGGTGGCAATCTCAACCAGCTGAGCGAGCTTCGTGAACGCTGACCCGTGCACACACGCTCATGTTCTCTGCGGGAGAGGCGGACGTCCACATGTGCAGCACCCGCGCTGCAATCTCCAGAAGATCGGGGTATGCGTCTGCGTCTCCGTGCTCCTGCCACCAAGCAGCACACCTCGATGTCTCGTCATCCCCCTTGCATGCTTGCGCCTCCGCGTCCCTCGTGATAGGGTCAGTCAAAAGAGGACCCATACGTGTGTGAAACAGTCTCATCTGCCGACACACCCGCAAGTAGCGAGCATCTCCTTGATCTCCCCCCGTCTGGGCAAGGAAGAAATCGTCGCACTCTTGCACGATTAAGTCCTCTGCAATCCTCACCCTCGCGTCGTAGTACCAAAGATGACGCCTACGAGGGTTGAGCAGATTCGTCGCGGCGTGCGTCGGCTCCAACATGTGTTGGCGATGGGCGAGGACCTGATCGATGCAATCATCGACTATCTCGGAGGGGATCCTCTCTCCGACCTGCAAGAGTCGCAACTCGGCGACCACAAGGCGACTCCAAGAATAAACCAGGGATAACCATCCCGCCCCTGTCGAGCCTCCTGAGCAACCGATGGATGGGAGTCCTGACCAGAATGCCGTACTCCACATCCCGCCAAAAGAATCCATCGTGGATAGTCCGACGCACCCACACTGCCTGGTCGACCAACCGAGACTCCCAAGGAATGTTGTCCCAAGCGTCATCGTGCAACATCGACTCAAGCGCGTCTCTGCGCTTCTTTAGGCAAAGGAGCATAAAAAAACACAGACGTGAATCGCGTCTCCACTGGCTGAACAAGAGATCGGCGCTTACTCTTTGACCTGAAAAGGTAGAGAGCAGCGTTGTGCATCTTGATAAACCGCACCAAGGCCCTTCCACGAAGAATGGCCGAGGCAATGCAGTCTACCCGGGTCCCTATGTCTGACACCATCAAGTTGCAGACGTGGGTGGCACCCGGGAGCCACGTGATACGGCGCAGCTCTAGGTCAGCATCCTTCGCAAGGAGCTTTGCGGCCGACATGTAGTTGCTCGCAGAGTCCGTGCAGATCGCCAACACGTCACTCGGTGGGAAGGACCTAAAAATGGCCTTCCATCTCCTCAAGACTATCTCCCCCGTCTCAGGAACGGAAGCGTCTCGACACGCTGTGGCATGCAAAAGCGCGCCATGCTTGCCAGCAACAAGGAAGTTAATGATAGGCCTCAAATCTCTGGACTTCCTACCAACTGTCAAGATGATGGCCCCAATCGCCATGAACGATGCGCGGACATGTGCGAGCATGCTAGCGACTGCATTGCGCTCCTCAATAACCCCACTACCCCCAATCTCCTTGAAACTAGGATACACCATCCGTACTCCACGTGGCAATTTTGCCACCGCCTTGCGGTGTCTTCTCCAAGAGCTCCTCCAGAAAGCACGAAATGGAATCCCCGCGTCATACACCCACTGCAAAAATGTGCTCCTAGCCCGCTGCTGAGCATCGCCGTCGTACACCTCGTCGATGGTCATCTGTCTTGGTCTCTTGCGCCCTTGCGCAGGAATGTCGTCGTCCACCTCATCGACACCCCTCTTCCCTCTCCCTCTCTCTCTCTTCTCAGCATTGCGGCATCCACCTCCTGTGCCACACGCAGTCATCACGACCTCCTTCCCCCTCAAATGCGGAGGAGGAGGACTCGAACCACCCTCCCCTCCAACCTCCCACCAGTGCGTTGCATGGCATCGGCCTCTCGCCTCGCCTGCCGATCCAGAAATGCCTCCACCTCGTCCACAGCCGATTGGTTCATAATATCCTCATCCCGGTGTGAACGCCCCCCTCCACCTGCCTGCCTCGTCTGCGTGCCCCGCTCTGGCAAAGATCTTGCGTCAACTATGCCCTGCTCCTCCATATACTGCCGGATACCACCCTCGTGTCGGTCGTCGAACTTGTAGTCCGTCTTGTTCCAAATGTCCACCAAAACCGACATCGATGCCTGCTTGCACCTCTTAGGCTGTGTGAAGTGTCGAGCGGCCTTGGACTGGTTTCCCTGAAACACGGCCTTGCAATAGTTGCAGCGCAACGTGTGGTCGCCGTGCATCTTTTCCCATGTCCCCACCTTCTGTCCTTGCGTAACATGCTTCCAGATATGCGATTTGTAACCTGGCCATGTCAACATTGGACACCTGTATGAATTCATTCCCCCCAGACCCTCCTGCACCCGCAGAAGCCATCGGCCGCGGACCCTCTGTTATCCGTTCTCGTCCTCGAGAATGCTGTCAAGGAAGCTGTCGAAGCGAACTCGCCGTCGTCGTCGTGCCGAGTCTCCGTGCTCGCAGGACCTGCAGGCCAGCAGGTCAAAAATCGTAAGGAGGCGCCTCTCTTTCTCTCACTCTCTCTCACACTCTATCTGCGTAAGATCTTGATTGATTGATTGATTGTGTGTGTGTGTGTGTGAGACAGAGAGGAGGAGAGAGAGAGAGAGAGAGAGAGAGAGCAATCAATCAATCAATCAATCAATCAATCAATCAAGACGAGAAAAGAAAAAAAAGAAAAAAAAAGAAGTCTGGGAGTGAAGGCGGCCGCGTTGAACCGCCACGTGCACTCCCAGACGATTTTTTTTTTTTTTT